CACACACACACACACCCGCTTCCCCCGTCGTCTTCTTCCTTTTTCGTTTCTGGCCTGAAGAAATACGGAGCCGCCGCAGCCTCCGGAGGGGAAGCAGGAGGCGAGGGAACTTACCTGGGCGAGAGCAGCGCCCAGCAGCGCGGAAAGGAGGAGACCCGGCATGTTCCCCAGGAGCCGGCAGCAGGGACATAGGAGGCGACTCAGGCCCCGCACAAAGGGCCCCTGTGTCTCCTCAGCAGGACACACACGCCTCCACCTCCCACGCCACCGACTTTGCGCTCACACTCTCAGCCTCTGCTTTCGCTCTCAGGCATCTGCTTTAATACCCTGTTTTCCTTCCTGCCACTCGCCTCCTATTTACCTTCGCAGGGGCGTGGAGTGCGTCATGAGGGTGTGAGTGCTCTCCTCCAGGACTAAGGAGGATAGATCAGGTGGTGACTTTTCTTTGAGCAGCTGTTCTGCCAGTTCCAGAGATCAGAGTCTGCCCTTTGGTAAAAAATGGTGCAGTTGGAGGCACCCACCTTCCTCACCCTCAGCCTCCCCATTCACTCTACTAGGCTCACCCTGCGCCAGGCCCTCCAGGCCCCAGAGCACAGAGTGCCGGCCTGCTCTCTGTCCCCAGCCGCAAAGGCAGCCTGCTCTGGGGTTCTCCCTCCACAGCGATAACAGGGTTCCAAAGGCCTTCCCTGACTCCCCCAGCCCTGGATTCTGCCTCAGACGCCCAGGGGGTGCCCGACATTTACCTCCCTCACAGCACATTTCTCACACCAGCTGCTGGCTCATGACTGGAAAAAATGGAGGCGGAACAGGGTGGACACCGAGAGCATCTGGCCTGAGAGAAGTTCTCTCTGTGGCCACGGTCCCATGACAGATAAAGTAAAGTTAACCCCAATCTTTTTGGGCTAAGACAAAACAATTATGCTAGTGGGAGTCATTTAGCAAATTAAGATTGGGAAGAAAACAATTTCTTACAGATCTGTACCCTTCCTCCTTCTAAATCTCACGTGTGTGTGTGTGTGTGTGTGTGTGTGTGACCTTCCTTCATCCCACTTTCTCAGCCTTGGTCTTTGCTTATGCCTCTTGACATGCATCTGCATTGGGGCTTTGTCTCCTTGTGGATCCTGTGTCTGGTCCACCTTCTTGCCCCCATCCAAGGGCCTATTTCTATTCTCTTTGACCCTTTACACATCCTATCTCTTCCTGTTACCTTACCTCTCCTGGGTGCTCTGCTCACCTGTGTTTCGTTAGAACAGTCCCAGCTATATAAAAACACGGTAAATAAAGCCTAGTGCCGAGGGTCTGGGGAAAATCTGGGCTCTCTGCCAACAATAGGGAATCCGGGGTTCCTTGGAGAGCCAGGGATTCCATAAGGTGCAAACAAACTCTACATAGATTACTAAATAGTCAATTAAACCATAATTATAATCACACCAAAACCGCAAGGAATACCCAGTGTGGTTGTGATGTCAATTCCTACTCCTTCTTCCCTAAGAAATAGGAAAAAACCTCAGAACCACCCAGTGAAGGAAAACATATCTGTTCTGGTCCAATCCAATCTATTTCTTTAATCTTTCTGGTGTAACACTGTTTGATCTTTGGGTTCCCCACCTCAGTGATTCATGTTGCACACTGGCCATCAGAATGGATTGTTTCTCATCTCCTGGCTGGTCTGTCCAAAGCAGAGGAACCCCAGGGGAGGGCTAGAGTACTGGTCAACTCCATCCCTCCTGCGCTCCCTGTTCCGAGTGTGATGCCACCCATATCTGTGGAGCCTTTGAGCTTAAGGAGATTCATGCTCCTCCCCTTCACTCTCTGTGAAATGCAGAGAAATGGAGCAGGCTCCATTTTTCTGGAAATGTCTTCCCTCCCTCTATAATCTCTCTGCAAAGGGGAGGAGAAGATGTCATACTCAGTATCCTTGCCTCTTGAGGGGGAAGGAACATCTTGGTTGAGAACTAACTTGTGAGCCCCCTCCTCCACCGAAGTGTACAGAATTGATTGGCTCCGGGTTATTCACTGTCACACATGTTTACACATCTCCAGCCCAGGGCATGCTCCTAGTTAACTATTTCATGCCTACTACAGATGGACTAAGAGAATATGATATTTTTAGAGGTTGGGGCTGCCATCTTTGACTTCTGACAATGAGAGCTATCATGGGGTGCATCCTTTTCCAAGCACTTTCCTTTATTATCTCATTTAACAAAATGCTCATCTGGCTAGGAGCCCATTGCACAAGTGTTCAGCTCATGATGTGCATTCAAATACACATGGCACTGAGCATAGTTAATATTTGCATCATGTTTTATGATTTACAAGGAAGTTTCACATTATTATCTTTATTAATTTCACAGCTCAGTGAGGTAGGCAAAAGCAGTATTAACTATCCTCATTTAACATATTAAAAACTTGAAGTTAAGTGATTGTACTTGGTCAATAAAACACACTTAATCCCTGCCCTCCAGAGCTACATATAATCTACTGGGAGAGAAGTCACTAAACAAACACACAAAGTATCCGTCACTAAAAACTGAATAAAGGCTAATAATAAAGAGCAAGCAAGTCTAAGAAAGAATGGCAGGGAGGAGCTAATGGAGCTCAGGGGGCAGAGAGGACATCGCTGAGGAAATGGCCTTAATGAGTTGTGAGGAAGCCAGCTGGAGAGTTGGGGAAGACTGCTGCCCTGTGCTCTTTCCATTGGCGAAATGCACACCGCTGATGGTGATGAGCTCCAGCTGCCAAGAGCACAGCCTACTGCCCTTTGCATAAGATGCCTGAAATCCTGCTATCAGGCCCATCATCACAGCTAGACTATTCCCTTCTCCCGGGAGGATCAGCCACCTAGACAGGCAAAGGTCCAAACCCACACCTCCTTCCTTTTCTCCTCTCTAACTGGCTGTGGGAGGGAGACAAGCTGGCCTGCTAACACACTGGAAGTGTGCTTTGAGGGAGGGTCTGCATTTGCATCAGTGGAACTAGAGATGTACCACTAACAGCTAACAATGCCTGCTCGGGTGTGTCTCCATTGTGCCCACGGCTGTGTAAATACTGACTCCTCTGATCCTCAAGGCAACACTGCAGGGTGGGTGCATCTTCCTTTCACTTATGAGGAAGCCACAAGATGAGGCCACGTGGGTAGCAAGAAGCAGAACAGAGATTCCAAGTATTTACTCCCTCTGCTCGGCTCCCTCTCTGCCTGGCCTATACATTCCATGATAATCTGTAGCAGGATGATTTATTGAGATATTAATTTGCATTGAGTTCTCAACATTTTTCTTCTTCCTGCTCCTCCCTCTAACCACAAGAAGTTAGTGAGGCCTTTTATACTTCTCTCTGATCCATCCTCCAAGCAGAAAATAGAAGCCACTGGAACGCTTTATCTCATCTTTTTTTTTTTTAAGATTTTATTTATTTGACAGAACGAGAGCACAAGCAGGCGGAGTGGCAGAGGGAGAGGGAGAATCAGGCTCTCAGCTGAGCAGGGAGCCCAATGTGGGGGCTTGATGCAGGGCTCTATCCTAGGACCCTGGGATCATGACCTGAGCTGAAAGCAGGCGCTTAACCAGCTGAGCCACCCACGCACGCCTTTATCTTGTCTTTTAGGGAGGCCTGATCTCACTGAAGAGGGGAGGCTGAGAGAGGAGAGCGGGGAGTGGATGTGAGGCAGCTGAGAAGAAGAGGAAGTGAGTGCAGCCCATGGGTTGAGTGAGGACTGGATGCTCAGGCCATCTGGTGACAGCATCAAAGCCCAGAGGGACTTGGTGTTCCATGGTGCTTTCTGGAGATTGACCCGGCTTGCCATCCGCAAGCTCCCTGCAGACCTCTGCGTGCAGACATGGAGCATCAGGGTGTGGGCAGAAAGCTCAGAGAGTGAAGACCAAAAGCCTGGCCTCTTTTCTGGGCACCAGCTAGACCTTCTGGATTGTTGCTCAGCCTCCGCTGATGGTGGTGGTGGCGGTCCCTGTGCTGGTATTGGAGGTGGCGGGGGACACACCGGTGAGAGCTTAGAGCAAACTGATCTCCAGATGGAGATGGGGGAGGGGGTCTGAGCCAGGTTTAATTGTAACTGTAATTAAAGTTTAAACAATTAAATTTAATAAATTGTTAACTTTAATTCAAAGAAAATGAAGAAATGGACAGTTCCTACACTCTACTGCATGATTTGGAGAGTCACTCATACTTGTTCCAAATACTCTAAGTCTCACAAGATTGCTATTCTCCTTGTGTGTGTTCTCTTCCCTGAAAAGTCACAGACCCTAGAACCAAAACCAAAGCTGGGGCCTCTGTACGACCTCCTCTGGTTCTCTGCTCTCTCCCAGCAGGACCTGCAGCCAGACCTCTAATAATTCAGTGATTTTTCCAGCCAGATTGACAATGCAAACATAACAGTGCTGAAGGACATGTACATGACAGGTGTTCAATAAAAACTTGCTGGTTATTTAAAAGGACTCCTTTTAAAATCACACTCTAACTACCATAGCTAAGCATGATTCTCATTTTGCATGCATTTAGCCACTGCATTTTTTATGCTCATTTTCTATTACTAATTATGGCACTTCTCACCTTTTTCCTAGATGTCCTCATCTTAAACGCAACCCAATCTTTTTACAAAGCTCTTGCCTCACGATCCCACTGTGATTTTTGTGCTAGGGCCTGAGAGAGCTGGTGTATTCTCTCTGCTACCTCCCCGAACCCTGGTGAGCCCGGTCTTCCAACACCCGTGTGTTCTCTGAGGGGCTGCCGTGCGCTAAGGCGTTGCCATTGGCTCCTCCCATCCAGCTTTTAGTGAATCAGATCCAAGACTGAGCAGCCCCCCACAACCACAAAACAATTGGCCCTGCCATCTTCCGTCTTTTTGCAAAGAAGCAGGTGCCCTCGCCTTGTTCCCAGGGCGTCAGAAAGTCAGGCTGTGAGGGCGCCTGGGTGGCTCAGTTGGTTGAGCGACTGCCTTCGGCTCAGGTCATGATCCTGGAGTCCCTGGATCAAGTCCCACATCGGGCTCCCTGCTCGGCGAGGAGCCTGCTTCTCCCTCTAACTCTCCCCCCTCTCATGTACTTTCTCGCTCTCTCAAATAAATAAATAAATCTTTAAAAAAGAAAGTCAGGCTGTGGCCCAAGGAAAACAAGGCCAAATAGCTCAGAGGGATGTAATTCACTTTGTCGCTTGGCCCTGTTCGTCTGGTTTGCAGGGGGACCCCTGTGTGGGAAAGAGGGCTGAGTTAATGGAGAGGTAGGCACTGAGGACGCCACAGGGAGAAGTAGGAAGGGAGAGAGGGCAAGGACGGGGTTATTT